TATTAGTGGTGGGACTTTAATGCGTTACTTATGTATTAATTTTTATCCATTTTTCCTGTTTGTTAACATTTAAATCCAGTGCAGCTCCTTCGGTGGCCACTTGAGGGCAGAAGAAACAAGTCTATTTGCTCCATTTTTGGTCTCCACCAGCTCCCAAGGGAAATATCGGACTCTTTAGCCGCTAAATATGCCACCGCGTCGTTTCCATACAAGTGGGTGGATGGTTTTTTTAGAGCTTTTACAGTGAAAACGGTGCCGAACCCAAACAGTGAAGCTGCATCGTGGCTTGAAAAAGCTTTGGGGAAGCTGATGAACTGCAGAATAAGAGATAAACTAAATTAAAGTTGAGATAGCTTAATTAAATTTCACCTTCCGCTCAGAGTTTCAAGCCCTTCCACTCTTAATAAAACATGCCTGAACTGTTTCAGACAGTTGAAACTGGTTATTCTAAACTAATTCCCCAAACTCAGTGTAGTTTACTGGTTGAACATTGTTTTCTTCAAAGTTTTCACAACTTGAAGACACTGATGCAGACTCATATCGGATATTAAAGATCTTCTCCAAACGTATTTTAAGACTTTAAAACTCTGAACCCCGAAACCTGTCAGCAGGGTTGAAAGTCATGTTACTTAAAAAGAAAAATTAAAAAATTAAAAACCACCAAAATGACACGATTTATTGGAAGCAGAAAGTGTAAAAACAGAAAAATTAAGTGAATTTTCAGCTTTTCAACAGTCCCTGAACTGCTCTTGTGTTACCTCCAGTTCTATCAGAGAAATTAACCAAAGTTTAAAATCATGATAATTGATTAAAACATGGACGTGAACATTTTTGTCTTTAAGGACGTGAGTGAGAGGGGAAAAAGAGAAAAGCTGCAGTGAATAAAAAATAAAAATGCATCCGGATCAATGTCGTTGTTCATCACTGACATGTTCTAGACTGTGATTATCCAAAAAAATTAAAATAAATCCACTTTTTGTGCCTTTTGTATGGACGATAAATTACGATAAATCATGTTTTTTTTTCTTTTTATAAACATCATGTAAACAAACCTCCATGTAAAAGGTTAAAATCCTGAAAATGAGTGAATATTTAGGAGTTATGATCAGAACTGATGTAAAATAAATAAATTAACTTAGTGACTTTTTGTCTTTAAGCACCTGAGTGTGAATTTATTTAAACGTTTCGCTGCATAAAAATTAAAATGCATCCAAGTTATTGTTGTTGTTCATCACTGTCACACCCCAGTCTATGATTAGAACAAATATCTTCCACCTAACACCTACTTCATGAACAATAAATCACTTTTTAAATGTTTTTAAACTGTGGCATCATGTAAACAAACCGGCATCTAAAGGGTTAAATCCTGAAAATGAATGAACTGATGCAGATTAAGAGAAACCAGTCGACATTTTTAGTCTTTGAGGACCTCGTGTGACTTCTTCATTCGTTTCTGTGCACCGGGAGGATTCTGGTTTGGCACAGCTGACGGTGACAACAGAGGCTCTGTGGTTCTGGTTCTGGTTGTGACGGCGCTGCATGAATGCACAGATGATGTCGGAGGCAGCGTGGGCGTGGGAGGTCCGCGGGCTGGAATGTGGAACAGCTGGACAGTGGAGGTGTCTGGATGATGGGGGCACTCCGGGCCGAGCGGAGGATCCCTGAGAACCTGGAAGCGGGACGTTTTCCGAGGATTTTCTGCGATGAGGCAACGGCGTCGGTCCCGCGGGACGCAGCTTAAGACATCGATCCGATCCGCCTCCTCCTCCTCCTCCTCCTCCTCCTCAGCTGCTGCCCCTCCGTCACCCCTCCAGCTGTGCTTCATCACGTTACAAACCTCCCGGCGCTGCTCACAGTCGACTCTGTGGTCGACTCTGTGGCGATCGTGGTTATCTGGGAGACGATAAATCAGGCTGATAAACGCAGCGAGCCGTCGGAGTCGATCAGCCGAGCTCGGTTCTGTTGTTTCAGATAACAGCCAAAGTCATCCGTCTGTGCTGCTTCTCCACGAGTTTCTGACCCACGTAAACGACTCAAACCACCTTAATTTGTACATGTTGCAGCAAGTTTTACATTAAGGATGCACCTAAAATAACACATGTGCACCATAGTGTTTTATTTTTTAGCAGAAGCTCAGATATCTTGTCCGTAAACTCTCAAAACCTACAATTCCCATAATGCACTTCTTCCCTTCCTTCCTCTTCCATGCACACTTGCTTCATGAGACATTTTGTAGGTCTCAAATTCAAGCTGAGATCATTTTAAAAGGTTTAAAATCAGTAGAAACATCCAAACCTGAAGCATTTTCTTTATTTTTTCACTCCTGTTACATTTTTACCCACCGTTGGCTCGTTTTTCACCCCAACATAAAGTCTAAAAAGAAACAGAACAACCAGGACTAAACTCAGAAATGTCTTCTGTGCAGTTTGACACAATTAGAATGACAGAAATCTTAGAAAATGACTTTTTTTTCATGAACAAACCTGAATTCAACAGAATTTTGTGGCTGGAATTGTTACGAATACTGGAGATAAAATTAGACTCTACCTGCTGTAGATGTTTTACTGTTTCCCCTTTTGATTTGTTTCCATGTTTGTCTCATATCTGCTAAACACTTCCTGCAGTTCAACAGAAAATTCACAGAGTTTTGTGTCACGTTGCACCACAGAGCACAGGAACATGTTAGAAATCAGACGATCAAAACAGTTCAACTTTTTCTTGTTTTCATTCTGGGTGAAGCTGCACAAAAAGAGTTCCCTCTACTTCTAGTCATTCTTGTTCTGTTTCCACGGAGGTGCAGGACTTTATTTTGCAACCTACGGTGGGTAAAAACATGACAAGAGCTGAAACAAAACGCCCAGAAACTTCTCAGAGTTCAGAGGGTTGTCTTGCACAGCAGAAGAAATGTAAAAATTAACATCTAGCACATACGTTTTGCATTTATGTCATCGCACGGATCAATAAATGAAGCAGCTTTAGAGGCTCCGTTAGCGAGAACAGCTACACCAGAGTTCATACAAAATCCTGCAAAAAAAAGAAGACAAAACACCAATCAACTTGTTGCTGTTCTGTAAATAGTTTCTGAACTTGAACCTGATTATTATGAAGCGTAACTGTTAAAGCTCCAGGTTGTGCTGAGCAGGACGGGTGTGTCAGTGTGGTGACAGGAATGCTGCAGGATAAACTCTTAGGGGAGCTACTTCTCAAGCCACACATGGGAGGAGTTTTTTTGGGGCAACTCTGAGCAACCAATGACTTCTGTCAACATGCAACAAGCCTCCCTCCTCCTGGCTTTAACGAGGGCGGCTGCAGCCAGCCGCTGGGCCGGAGGAGGGAGGGTCTCCCGCCAGCAGCTTTTATGAATCTGCTTCCACTCAGAGCAGCTCGGATTCGACCGGCTGGTGAACAGGTGGACGAACAGCATGCGGAGGATCCAGACGGTGCTGCTGCTCCTGGTTCTCCGGGCCTGCAGCTCCCAGGCCTGGCTCTGGTTCTCCGGGCCAAAGCCGACACCAGAGACCAGCACTGGGACAACGGCAGGGACGACAGGAGGGACGACAGGAGGGACGACGGAGGCTGTAACTGGGACGACAGGGACAGGAACGGTTACCGGGACGACAGGGACAGGGACGGTTACCGGGACGACGGGGAAGGTGACCGGGACAACAGGTGTCGCCACGACAACCGGCGGCGACGCAAAGCAGAAGGCGGAGGAGGATGACAATTTGTCCGGGGTTGGGGAAGAAATCATCAACGTGGCGACGGGAATCCGTAAGTTAGTGGAGGCGTGGGACGCGACGCCGACCACCTGGACTACTAACGGGAGCCTGGGCGAGCAGCCGGAGGGCGCTAACGCTAACACCACAGGCAGGTTGCCGGGGCAACGGGTGGAGGAGGGCTCTGGGTCGGGGGATGGATCTGGGTCCGATGTAGCCGCTGGCGAAGCTAACGGGACGGTTTGTGTCCCGGTGCCCCCTGGCTGGCCCGTTTGCAGGCGGCCAAAGTCGTTCATGCTGCCCAACTTTCTCAACCACTCGTCCGTAGGGCAGGTGGGGGCGGGGCTTCAGGAGTGGGCGTGGCTCGTGAGGGCGCGGTGCCACCACAGTGCCGAGTGGTTCCTCTGCCTGCTGATGGCGCCGCGGTGCCCGTCCGGCGCCGCCCACCTGCCCTGCCGCAGCTTCTGCCACGTGCTGCAGGACAGCTGCTGGGCGTCGCTGGACGGCGGCCGGCTCCCGGTGGAGTGCGACCGCCTGCCGGAGGGTCCGGCGTGCGTTTCCGTTAGTAACTGGAAAGGTAACCCCGGCGGGTTAGAATGTATCCGGCGATACATTTTGAATCCGGTCACCTGTTGTTGTCGTCGTTGTCGTTTTTGTGTGTTTGTTTTGGTGTCACAGCACTGAGTCACTGCTTTCGGTTAAAATTTGCATGTTTTTAGCGAGTACTTTACATGACAGCTAACCGATTTAAAACAACATTAAATACACTTCACTTGTACCAGGCGACTTGTGGTGCAGAAAATCCACCTGCAGAGACCTGATTTAACCTGTGAAGCTGGTGTTTCCTGCTCCTGTTGCATTTTTACTCTCTGTTGGTTCGCTTTTCAACATAAAGTCCTGCAGCTCTACGGAAACAGAACAGCCACGACTAGAAGGAGAGAAAACTCACAAAAAACTGAAAAAAACAGAAGTTAAATTTCTGAAATTATTTATTTTACTTAAATGGAAAAACTAAAATGAACATATACAACATTTTTCCAATTATCCTCAATTTTTGGGTTATTTTAGTCAGTTTTTATTGATATAATACAATATCTTCATGAACCGTCTATCCTTGTTTTTTGGTAAATGGTATAATTTTTACATTTTAAAAATAAATGAGAACATGTTTCAGACCCACCAGCAGGTTTTAGGGTTCAGAGGGTTAAACACAACCAAAAACAACACCTTAAAATGTCTTGTTTTGTCCAACAATCAATTCAGAAGATCAAAATATTCAGTTTATTCTAATTTAAGATGGCAAAATCACAAATCTTCACATATTTTTTGTTCCAGAAACTGACTTAAAAGTGCGTAAATTATCATAAAATTTGGTGATTACATTAATTTTCTTTTTTGCAAAAGCATTGAAGTCAATGCTACTCTAATGCTACATCAACTGCCTACATTACCCACAATGCACCTCCACCTCCAACAGTTTGCTCTGCACATTTTTCTCAACCACACACTACCAGTTTATTTTCATTTTCCACCTTGTAGTCTTCATACAACTTTACAAAAGGCTTTAAAGACCTTTTTTTCATAAATGCAAACATCCTCTCTGAGACCTGCTCACAGTTTTCTTGTTGTCAAAGTCAAACTTTATTTGCATTCATAGGAGTTTTAGCACATTTCACGTCTCTGCAAGTTGATTTTCTAAACCTTTGCATGCCCACAAGACGGTTGTTGTGAATGTAAAGTACAAATAATCTGCAATTAAAACATGCAAAGACGCTGGTTCTGTCACTGCTGCTGCTGTGGTGTCGCTTTGTGTGGCTGCGCTCACGTCACCGGGCTGCATGCCGTGTGGTTGTCCTGTCGTGTGCACGAGTGCATCCGCAAAAAGCTCCGTTTTTGTGTGATGAGCCAGTAATGGTCAGCAACAGCAATCCGAAACGTTCTTTCAAGGTAGCTGCAGCGTTTTTTAATCTTCATTCTGGTTGCATTAGACGTATATTCATCAAACAGAAGATCAATTTGTGCCAAAACAGCATCAGAAATAGATGTATACAGTTTGGAGGCTTCCCCCTGAGTATGAACCCTGAGGACAGGAAGTTGTCCAGAGGCCCTCGTCCAGCATTTTACTGGCTTCATAAATTTACCAGCGGCTGTATGGACTCTTTTCTTTCAGGGGGTTAACGGGATGAACTCTGCTTCAATAAACCACCATTATCACGTGTGTTCCCACAGGAATATTTAATGTAAATGTTCCAGGTTTAACCCTCTGAACCCTGAGTCGTTTGTCAGTGTGTTTTTCTTCACTGTGGGCTCATTTTTCACTGCAACACCAAGTCCTGAACCTCTATGGAAACAGAACAACCACGACTAGGAGGAGAGAAAACTCAGAAATGTCTCCTGTGCAGAATGACAGAAATTATTATTATTGTTATTGTTATTATTATATTTTAAATAGCGAAAACTACATGTACATCATTTCTCCAAGTGCCCACAGGTCACACCAATGTGACAAAAATAGATATTTTAATGTTTATATTTGTATTTAATTTCCATTCTCCTGTAGATACACAGCCTGCAGTTCAGCTGAGACGTCCATAGATGTTTGTCACGTGACAGCTGAGTTATTTTATCAGTTGCAACAGGAAGTGCAGATTTTTTTTGTTTTTTTTCGTAGTCTGTTTTTTTTTTCTTGAATATTTAAATGACTTTAATAAACTATTTTAAGCTTAGATTTGGTTAATTTTCCCAACAGAACCACACATCTCACACAATTAGCTCAAATGCTAGTAGCAAGTTGAAAATTTGATAATTTTTTTGTTTTTTACAGTTTTAAAATCTAATAAATTCTGTAATTTTGTCGATTTAAAAAAAAAAGAAATAGTTTTGTGGGTTTCAGAGGGTTTTAAGCTGCAGATGTGTGACGCTTTAAAACACAAACAGTCTACAGGTTGGTTTTTTTTACCTTCCCCTTGGTGCAGAATTTACTTTTGCATGACTTATCATCAGTTTAACCGGCTTTTAATGCTGCACTGGCTGAGCAGAATCACCGTGTTGGTCATTAGTGTGTTTTATTGGGTGTGAAGCTCCAAACACCTGCATGGAAAAAAAAGGGCACTTTCAGGGTCTTGTGGCCTCATTACACCGAAGCAGATGTGGATCACGACGACATGCGATGTGACTGTTGCAGCTTCTCGGCAGGCCGTTATCCCGCCTACTCCTGCATGCCGGTCACGCGTTTCTGTCTCGGGTTATCTCCTCGCCGTCACGTTTCAGGATTCCCGATCAGCTGTGTAGATGTTAGAGAGCGATGGTGTTTCCACAGATGCAGGGAAACAATCGGGGCGTCTGTGGAGGGGAAGATGGCATTTGTGATCGCGGCTGTGGGTGGGAAAATGAGCCCGGCGATCCGTGCGGCTCGGCAACAACGAGGCCTTGTGGCTCGGAGGAGACGAGGCGGCTCGGAGGCTCCGCCAGGGGTCGGAGGTCACGGCCGGCCTCCACATCTCACAAGTGGACGGGAGGCGATCTGGTGTTCGGCCGAGCATCCGAAGATGAGCAGAGACAGAGCGAGGCCTTTATGTGGGCAGGGAATTAGTCAAAGTGCTGCACTCTGGACCAGTTACATGTCATTTAGCGGTGTCTAAAATTAGGTCCCTTCAATTTGTCTGAAATTGGCGTGTCAATACTGAGATTAAAGCGCCGAGATCAAACTAAGAATTTGCAGAACTGGACGAGCAGATCAAATAGTCTCTGCTTCTGGGTGAGCTGAAATATGAAGAAAAAAAAATAATCTTTGAGCACATTTACAAAAAAAACTGATAATACAGAAACCAACTAGTGATGTTTTCTGAACAAAATGTGGCTGCATGTCACAATAAAACAAAACTAAAAATATGTAAAATACTTTTAATATGAAGTCACAAGAATGAACAAAAAGTAATTTTCTTTAAACTTTTATAAATGATTGAGAATGTATGATAAATGTCTAAATATTGTAATATTAAAAAAAAAAATATATATATATATATATACTCTCTTAAATTCTAAATCAATGTCGGGATCAGAAATAACACAGAAGAATTCATACTTTTAAATAATTTTTACGTTATCTTTTAAACAACTTTCAGATCTTATGCTAAGCTAACTAGCTGCAGCTACATATTTGCGAGCTAAACTGTTCCTTTTTAAGCAGCAGGCCGATAAAATGTTGGCGTAACCTCAAGACAGCAGCAGTTAAAGCAGAAAATAAGACTAGCATAGCATTAAAAGTATAAAATTGTGTCTTTCAACGTGTTTTTAAGATGCTCCAGGGTCTGTTTTAGCTCAGAAACGGCATTTATTTTAGCTCTGATGCACTCAGAAGATCTCGATGGGCTCAAATAAACCCGATCCCTCGTCAGTCAGCGTTAATTAGCTCTCAGCTCTTGTTCAAACGTGGATTTAGAGGCTAACTGAGGGATCAGCAGGATGAAGGCGTCGCAGCTGCGTCGCCTCCGTTTGAAGCGTTAGCTGATGCCTTTCAGCTCGGTCCCACGAGAGCAGAGCTGCAGCGGCTGGTGTGTGAATATAGACGTTTGCTGTCAGCTTGTTTTAAGGCGAAGAAGCAGCGAATCTTTGCACATTGTTGCAGCTTTTCAAAATAAAAGACTAAACATAGATTGACTCATGCTTTGAGTTTGCATACTGAAATTGCTCACATGAACTTTAGATTTTTTGTAGTAAATAAGTTTCTTTTGCAAATAATTACACTTAAACCCGAGGAGAGTGAAATTCACCTTCCACTCAGTCGCTGGGTGTTTTAGATTCCTCACCCTGCAATATGAAATCCTGCACCTCAGTGGAAACAGCACAAGCATGACTAGAAGCAGACAACAGTGTCCACAGGTGTTACCAACCCTAAAAAAAAATAGGTGACTCCACGTACGATAAATATTTAACTCCATATATTTTAAATCTGTTTCTATGCATCTGCTCTGTGGAAACACTTCCTGCAGTTCAGCCGAAAAGTCGCAGAATTTTTGTCTTGTGACTGTTGATGGCAGCAAAGTCGCTAAAGTCTTCATGGTTGCGCTGAAGAGGACAGATTTTTTTTATATTTTACAAAATTTAGCTAGATCAAATGATTGATTTTTGGTGAATTTTTCAATTGAGACG